GGGGGGGTGACTGAAGTGACTGAAATAGCAAAATAAACCAAGTCATGCATTATAAGCTTTTAAGAGTGAAATAGAACTCTTCGGCGTGATCGATTTGCCTCAGACAAAGGAATTTTTATAAGTACTAAAAAAACAAAAACAATTTACACTCACAGATATTAAGTTTTAGTGGTTGGATTTTCATTTTTACAGCCAAACTTGTCTCAAATTTTCATCACGTTTTATTTGTTTACTCTTTCTTTATGATTTGTAACCGTTTCAATTCGATTCCAGTCTTTAAACCACAGTTTCCTATTCGAAATCATAGAGTTTAATTAAATCTCCTTTACAGTAGTCATATTTATCATTCACAGTAATTATATCTTTAATTGAAATTGTGTGTGTTGGCAAATGCATAGGTTTTGTTAAAAAAAAAACAACAACCTCTTCTAAAGGTTTCCCAGCAATGCTTTGATGATGAGCTTTTATTTCGAATAACAACAATTTAACAATGTTGTTGTTCGTTCAGCTTTTGTTTATTCAAACCTGGGAAAACCCGATATGATTTGATATTGTTTTTACAGGGTTAATTGTTTGTTTCCACTGTTAGTTTTACCTTTAAAGGTTAAAAGAATGTGTATTCTCTCTTTTATTTGAAGATATAGTTTACTTTGGGTTGGTTTTTTTTTTTCAAAATAAAGAAAAACAAACTAAGGCATAATTGTTAGCAATACGTATAGCATAGACTCCACTCCACTCAAGGAGCAAGACATTTTGTTTAAAACTAAATTTCGATTTGTTATAGAAACAATCCACACTAACGTTTTGTATTTTGTTCAACTAATTGAAGCTTGCCCTAATTTCTCACGCCGCAGCTGTATTGAAACCAAACATAGCATTCTAGAAATCAAACTTCTATCTATTTAACTTATATCCCCCACCTCACCCCTCACATGCAAAAAAAGCAACAACAACAACAACAACAACAGCAACAACAACAATAGGAAAAAATCAAAACAAAACCCCGTTCTTTTGTAACATTAATTTTTACGAACAGAAAAATTCACGCCGAAAAAAAAGACACCACTCAGATCGCGGGTAGAAAGTAGTATGCGTAGTAGGTTCTTAACGCCTGTACGCCTGTGATTCACTTCTTTTTTTTCTTCTATTTTCCAAAACTTTGGAATGATCTTCATTAATTTGTGAATGCAGCATGACAATAATGTGTTTTTATGTGTTGACGGACGCACTTGTTTGAAACGTCAGTATAACTGAGGATTTATTTATATATATATTTTTCCGTTTTCTTAAACGATTACAGCGAGTGTGATGCGTAAAGCGCAAACTCCTCCCAATAATAATTTACAAACATAATAATATGAACAAAAATTAATTCAGAGACGGTGTGAACAGATTACAATTAGCACCAAAAAAAATGTCTCAAGTTTTCAAATAATAATTAATAGTAAGTAAACCTATAGATATATAGAAATCATTGATCTTCTGTTTGAAGTAAACTCTTTAATTTTCCGGGGTGGGATGTTCGTTTCTGTTAATAACGGGGTTTTTTTTCAAACTCACCAAGGGGGAGAGAGAGAGAGAGAGAGAGAGAGAGAGAGAGAGAGAGAGAGAGAGA